TTACACTGACCGAGCCACCAAGGCACCCCAAAACAGTGGTTACTTCTTACCAGGGTAGACATTGGTGGGTTTGGAGGCTGTGGCCAAAGAAAGACACATACATATATTTGTCTATATGGGAGTAGAGTATTCTCCAGCTGCTTTGTTTGGGTGGAGGCCCACTCAATGTCATCTGATTTACAAGTAACAGTATAAATGGGCTGAAGTAAAATTTATCAACAAGGAATATGTTGCCTCCAGGACCCAAAAAATACTGAAAGATTTTAGACTTGTATGTCCTCAACAAACGTGTCCTCACGGTAGGTATGTCCCAACAAATGTCCTCATGGTAGGATGTCAGACACGCGAGGTCATACCTGTGCTCCCGGTAAGTTAAGATCCTGCCTGCAAAGATGACATATGATAGCAGAAGGGTTTGGGTGCCCTGTGCATAACAAGGTAAAACATGTCCCCTTCAAGGTCAAGGGAAAGGTGGCCGAGAGGACATTGAAATCGGCGCTGAACAGAACCCATTAGCCAAATCTATAAGAAAGAGCAAACTATTTACCGTCTTTAAATTTGTTGGGATCCCAGGTGTTTTAAGGGTACCAGGGTTTATATTGATATTTTTTTTCTAAGAGAGAGTGCAAGGTGGGGAAAGGGGCAGAGGGAGGGAGACTGAATCTTAAGCAGGCTCCACCCTCAGCACAGGGCTCAATCCCAGGACCCTGGAATCATGACCTGAGCCCAAATCAAGAGTCAGATGCTCAACTGACTGAGCCACCCAGGCACCCCTCACCTGATCCCCATGGCCTGAAAGCTCCCCATAATAAACTCAGGCTGTCATAGAAGAAAAAAATACTGGAAAGACACAACCACAAATGTCTACTTCAGCCTCTCTCGGAGAAGTTTCATGATTAATGCCTGCTTTTTGGTCCCAATATTAATGTTCACAGGGGTTTTAAATGTAAGTTCGTCTTTGTCAGAAGATGCAAATTAGGTGGTGAACTTTCTCTGATATTGTCTCATGACGTTGTTCATGACAACCGCGGTGTAGCCTCATATTGGGAGGCAAGACACAGCCTGAGTTGGCTAAGCTTGCCGCTTCTAGCCTCCACTCCTCAGTCATAAAGGTCTAGCTCTTCAACCAGAAACTTAAATGAAATGAATTGGCCCTGCCTGCAGGAACCCCAGGCAAATGACAAAGTCCTCTGAATCACGAGCTTTTTTCTGAATCAAAGGCTCAGCAAAGAACACTCTTTGATTGTCAAACGACACAGGTGTACCAGGATATCTGTCTCCACCTTCTTCCCCTTACCCTGAGCCTTACCGTCCGCACCTACGGGATTGGCACCTTGCACTACTCACCAATGACACTTTCTACTTATGACACCCGTGGAATGTGTACACTGCCAAGCTGGGAGACTATGCTTATTCAGTGTTTTGCATTTACCCTCTTGGCAGAGCACGACTCAGAGAAAGTGGTGTATTTCAGCTCATCACAACTCCCCCTGGCAAGCCTTCCGAACCTGTCTTCCCCACTGTCATTTCTACCTTGGGTATCAATGAGCTCTTATCCCTCCAA